AGATAGATAGATAGATAGATAGATAGATAGATAGATAGATAGATAGATGGATGGATGGATAGATATTATTGCAGACTCAAAGTCCAAATCACAAAAAAAGAATCAATCACAATAACAATAAAAGAGTAAATATACATTTAAAAATAATAAATAGATGCAACAGATGCAATAATAGATGTATGTTGCACAATTATTCTAATTCAGAAAATAAAAAAAGTTTAAAGTCCTCATTAAAACCCACATTGCCGTCTCAAATATAAATAACCAGTTCTTGTGTATCTTTGTAATTGTACATCTATAAAAAAAAAACTGTTTGAAAAATCCTCATAATAAAAAACAAACAAACTCATTATGAATCATTATTGGTTAATTAAATCAAGGCCTGATGGTTTATATTTAAGTATCCATGTTACTCTTTGTGTAATTAGTGATTTGTTGTTGAAGATGCARGTTGAACAAGCTGTGAGGCTCGGCTCTTATCAGGACAAACACATGGAAAAGGAAACAGAGATGAGAGGAAAGAGTCTGTCTTCACCTTTATGTGTTGGAGTCTATTACCTCGTTCACAGCTGTCCAAACACTGATTCATGGCCAGTCGTGACTAACCTGCTAACAGGACCAACACCAAATTAACACGAGCATTAAATCTGTAGTCTAGTCATCGCTTCTGTAGATGCCAGATTTGTTGCACCATCTTTGAATAAATCTTATTTAATAGTATTTTTTATGCATTCTAATGCATATTTCTAATTCTTTGAGGGATTTGGGTTCATTTGAGGCGATTGCAATTTCTATATCCGCTGAGGTCATCTTCCTGTCAGGGGTGAAGCAGTGGGAAAGCGCTGCCATGGAAACAGCCTTTATTGCATTACCCCGTTTAATGGAGGCTCAGGACCAAAGAACCARGATTCCCCTTCGACAAACTACATAATAAAACAGCCTGGACTCTCAGGACAAGCGTCAGGTTTTGTGTTTGTTTTTATGGTTTATGTTTAGATGAGATTCCAGACACCTCCCCTATGACCTAATTCAGGCATGGACGTTTCTGGTCCTGGAGGGCCGCAGCTCTYCATGTTTTACTTGTTTTTCTGCTCCAACACACCTGATATGAATGAATAGATGYTTATCAGGCTTCTGCAGTACAGAGGACCAAAACTGACATAATTAGAAAAAAGGCAGAATTACTGTATATGAACCACAAAATAAATGCTTAAAATGCACCAATTAAATTAAAAAAGGAGAACTTTATCTCCTGTTTTATATTTTAATTGACTTTCATTTTATTTTTCCAGGTTAGTTCCAACAAATTAGTCTATATGTTTGAACACATAATTTAATTTTGATTGTTTTTAAAATATACAAGTAAAAGGAAAAACTATGTAAAATATATATTTAAAAAAACATTAAAATTTGAATTGTGTTAAAATATATAATTTATTGGAACTAAGCTGTAAAAATAAATATGTAGGTCAATTAAATTATAAAGCACGAGGTAAAGTTCTCCTTTTTAATTTATTTGGTGCATTTTAAATGTATTTATTTAAAGGTTCCAATATCTATTTCTGCTTTTATTTCTAATTATGTCAGTGTCGGTCCTCCATACTGCAGAACTTGTGACTGAATCAGGTGTGTTMGAGCGGGGAAAAATGTAAAACATGTAGGGCTGTGGCCCTCGAGGACKATGACTGCCCACCCCTGACCTATTTGCTTTGGATGCACTACCATCAAACTTGGTTGAAAAKAAATMTTTTTTCTTCTTTTTTAGGAACAACTGAGCCTGAAGGGAAAAAAACATCTGTTGTTGTAACTAAARGTTTTGTGATCAAAGTGCAGAACAACAACAAAAAAAGAATAAGAATCGAATAAAGCTACAGTTTTGCAAAAAAAAAAAAAGTATATTTTGTGAGCAAAATATCTACTTTGTGACCTGGAAACTATTTCCCCCATTTCTTGCAACAAAGCTGTAAATACACTTGAATTGAATTAATCTGTTTTTTTTAAGTTGACCAATCTGGTTCCTTACTTTTGTTTTAGTCTGTTGATTCATTCCCCCTGCCACCTGGATTTAGTTAGAAATCCTCTTCATTTCCTCGTTCCCTCTTTCATGTCTTTTGGTTTCAGATCTTGTGTTGAGCTTAAGCCCAGTTGTGTTTTCATAAGCCAACACAATCATTTCTGTTAGATGGATGTACAGGGGTTGGACAATGAAACTGAAACACCTTTCATTTTAGTGTGATAGGTTTCATGGTTAAATTGGACCAGACTGGTGGCCATTCGTCATTAATTGCACATTGCACCAGTAAGAGCAGAGTGTGAAGG